TGAATTGAATGTTCATTTCTCTACCATAAGCCGTCTCCAAAGGCATTTCAGAGAATTTGGCAGTACATCCAACCGGCCTATATTTGCAGCCACAGCTTGGTAGCGATGTGACATATTTATGCACACATGATAAACAGTCCTTTTGAAAGTCAATTAGTACCCTTTATCTTTAAATCAGAGCTTATTAAAGGCACGACAAACGAGGCACCAGGGATATATTTAGGCCTTTACTTGATGTCACCTTGAACATCGGCTGAGCGAGTTACTCCAAATATGACGCAAGATCAGCACTAAGACATCAGGCACAAGGGAAATTCATATGCGAGCGTCCTTTTTAATGACTCTGTCAGGATGGTTGTCCTTGCTGTTTGAGAAAAGAAAGCAGGTGACAAGGCATTGTTACTTCATTAGCTGAATCAGTCTTGTTGAACCCCGAGGGGACTGCATGCGTAGCACGTCTCTAACCTCAGCTGAACCGCACATAAAAAACTTCTGCATACCACCGGCTGCTTTGAGCACTTGAAAAATGTAGCTCACAACTCAGCTGAGAGAGTTGGAGGCCATACATTTTAAAGCATTTAAAAACAGCTTTCTGCAGTAAATCCCCAGCTGCATATAATATATTGAGTCAAACACTCTCAAGGTGATTTAAAATGGTTAAACCTATCCAAAATAAATAAAGTATTAATTGCATCCCATGGCGTTTTCTCCTTAATTATTAAAATCTAGATCAATTATTCAAGACTGACTGTTGTAAGAATGTTCACCAAACAGCTTGTCAGTCATCAGAAGAATGTCTTCTTTGTGACCAGGCCCTCTGTGTCATGTTTATTGGAAAGCCACAGTTAATTATTGAGGACCAAATGAATAAGTAAGCCAGATTTCAGGGACACTGCAAATTAAATGTCTTGGAGATGAAATGCTGAATGTTTGACCCAAAATCCCTCAGCTGTGAACTTTGGTCCTCCTTAAAGCTGGCAAGAACAGGAAATGTGCATCAGTTTTGATCCTCAAGCAGCCAGTTAAATTATTGTATGTTGCTTTTCATACTTGTAATCATGATAAAGTGCATTTATGTGCTTAAAGGAAGGTTGCAGGTTCAGTATAAGTTCAGATCTGTCATCCCTGTAAAATGGTGATTTAAACAACTTTACAACTCAACTTGTGAACATTTTGTAATAGAATGGATTAAGTAAATGAGATAAAAATACACCTTTCACATTTCTAATTAAGAGATTAGAGCCAAAAAATTAGGAGTTTAAACAAACATTAAAATTGTTATTTATTGACTGTTATTCCAGACCTCCAAACCTGCATGACTTTCTGTCTTCAGTGTAATGGCATATTTTATTTTATTTGCTCTGTTGTGTTTAATTCCTTGACTCTGGAGAACACTGAGATGGTAAAACTTGTGTAAAACTCATATTTATTAATATTCTCTTTCCTCCATACTATATATGTCAGGGATTCATCACAGTCACTTCAGTCACCATCCAGGATAATTACCCGATCACAGTCACCTGAGTTCTGATCACCCGCACCTGCTGTCACCAATCAAGCCACACTACAATGGATGGGTATGGACCGGTGGAACGTTTCTGGGTGGCCAGGGACGACATTCTGGACCCGTTGCTTCTAGAGGACTTCCATCGCACCCATCCTGGTCGCCCCGCACCCAGAAGCCGTGGCCGCCCCCGCCGCCGCTCGAGGGCGTCAGGAGCCGCCCCTGGAGGGGGGGGTAATGTCAGGGATTCATCACAGTCACTTCAGTCACCATCCAGGATAATTACCCAATCACAGTCACCTGAGTTCTGATCACCCGCACCTGCTGTCACAAATCAAGCCACACTACAAATACACACACAGCACAGTCACTCACTGTCCGGTCTACCGTTCACTCCTACAAACTACTCTGGACTCTCTCTGCCAATTTCTCCTAGAACGAATTACCTGCTGTTCCTCCCACGATCCTCCAACGACTCCTTGGAAACGGCTCCACGATCTCCAATGTAACCGGCATACAATCCTCTCCATCAGAACTCAGATAAGCACCCTGGAACCATTCACTGTGTTGACATTCACCTGCCTTTAACTCACCTATTCCAGTGATCCACTTACCCAGTCAATAAACAATCCTGTTTTGCACTTACCTGTTGTGTCTGGCCTTGCTTTGTGACAATATATGGGTATGACCCATTAAGATGTCAGTCAGCGAGTGCATCATCTGGAACGCATCACTTTCTATTTTAAGGGTCACATCTGTAAATATCTGAAAAACGTCTCAAAGCAGATTCACACGCTCTGTTGTGAAACATCTGCCATATCATTCTAGCATTCAACAATGAATGAATGCAATGTATTGCAGATGCAAACTCTTAACAAATGACGTCTTCCAGATGAAAACACACATCAAATAGAACCTTCGGCATTCGTGCAGCATCAGAGGAACATCTGCAGAGATGTTTACAGGGGTCTTTGTAAGCATTACGTGAAAAAATAGTGTCCATGGCAAGGTTTTCGATGGACTCCATTAGACAAAAGTGTCACTGCTAACAGTGAACAGTGAAGGAAATGTCCTGAGAGAGTCTGTGTATAAATAACTCATGAGTGATGCTGTCAAGGGACCAAAGGTGTCTGGGGAACTTTGCACTTTCAGTTGGGAATTTCCATTTTTACCTTTGGTGATTTGAAGCCTGGATTCCATCACTTCCTTCTTTGACATTCCAGGTTCCCTCTCTGGGCCGCTGTGGGTTATTAGCCCTGCGGTGCAAAGGGCCGCTTTGTTGTGTTGCTGTTCCACCGAGTAGACGTGTGCAGCAGTGTGGTGAGGGCCGCCACGCTGTGATGCATATGCCTCTCCCTCATCCATTTTTAACAGGGCCACTTGGACTCTTCAGCGATGAGGCAGGCCCCATAGGAGCGTCTTGTACAGCCGCACACTTAGAGCACTCAGACCTGCCCCATCTGTCAGCATACGGGCAAGATACACAGTAATCAGAGCTGCCACAAAAACAGACCTCTGCTCAGTGGCATCTGTTCAACAGCACTTGGATTGTTTATGTACCCAAAGTGAACCGCTGGAGCTCATTAACGTCCTTTTTATGGTGGCCAGTGTCTTTCCCGCCCTGTGGATTAGCAGATTAAAGATGTGGCAATATGAAGAGATAAAGGTCAGGAACTGATGAGCCTTGTCAATAATGAGTCTCGCGCAGTCATTACATGCAGCGCACACGAGCATCTGGGCTTAATCGGAAAAATAAATTGCTGAAGTGTGTGCAGACATTTTTGAGTCTTTTTTTATTAAATGTGCAAAAAAAGTATTTTTTTTTCCTCAGAGCCTATGCTGGTGGAATAAGACATGGCAAAAACATCATTATTTTGACATGTTTTCTTAGTGTCTAACATAGTTTTGCTTCTTAAGTAAATGTATCTTGGTGTAAGGATCTTGAGATATTTTTACAGGAAAAAAGACAAAAAGTAGTGTTGATTTTTACATCC